TCGAGCTCATGGCCACACTTGATCGCGCGATCCACGCTGAACCGCAGCTAGGCCGCCTGACGCGCCCCCCCACCGGGGCCGAAAGCGTGCTGGGGCGCAAACTGGCCTCCAGCTCTTCGCAGCAGGGGCGGCGCTCGAAACCGTGGGACTTGCCCGACTCGCCTGAAGTTGTCGCAGGACTCCGTTTCCCATGGCTTTCTTGACCAACGCAAGGGAGAAATCAGCACCATAATCGTCGACGTGCTCGGTGAACGACTTCATGGCCCACACGCTTCACCCCGAGGAAAGCATCATGGCCTCGATGGGGCCTCTCACGCTCCTCCAGGAAATCTGCGCCGGGGCATCGTCGTCAAAATCCTGACGCATTACCTCCCAAAATTCCCTGGTCGCCCCGAACTTCCACGGGCTCTTGAGGATCCGACGCAAAACACTGAGTCGCGCGTATAACAGGAGGCACCGCGGAATGCCAACATGGATCCCCCTCCAGAGTGAGCCCGAGTCCACGCGTGCCCGATGCCGGCGCGAGGGCCCCCCCCGCCCCCCCACCCCCCGGGGCCCCTGTGCAAGCCCTCCAACTCGAAGACCGAGACCCCGCGAACTTCCGAAGCATGCGCAGCACCCGCCAGAGGGCCCGCCACGAAGACCTTCTTGGAGCTTAAGGCTTCAGGGTCTTTTTTCATTTAGAAAAGATGTCAAGCGCTTCCTGAACTTGAGGCCGTGGCCAGCCCGTCTCCTAGGCCACTCTTGCCGCGTTGCCAACTCCTTGTTTGACGGCGCCGCGGGCCTGGTCCGCATCGCGACGCATCTTGCCGCCGGCAATTTGCGGCGAGCAACGGCGGCCTTCTCCTGGGAAAAGGGCCGCTCCGCGTCATCGGCGAGCGAGCGCAGCGCGCTGTCGGGGCGCTTCGTTCACGGCGTCTGCGAAAATCGCACGCTCCGAGCACTGCAAACCGCAATCGCCGATGTAGATGTTCAACGAGTCCCGAACTGATGGGGCCACGACGCCGACGATCGGAGCGAGGCGGGCCTGCGCGCGCGAAACAGCGAACGAGCCCCCCGCAAGAACGGCCTTCTTTGCGAAGAACAGACCCTCGATCATCCCCTCCGAGGCCCCTGAACCGAGGACCTCGGCACATGGCGACGGCGAAATTGGAGATCTGGGAGGGGGTGCCCAGCAAATCGCAACGAGGCTGCAACTTGCCAGCGTCGAGCGCCGAGGACAACTTGCACGGGTCTCAACTGCGCAGAGCGCGCCGCGCCGTTGCCCCTGGGCCCCGCGGCCAACTCGGACATGGCCGATTGGCGCCGCGCGACGCCTGCTGCCCCTGCGAAAGCCCTCGCGGCGAGGCGCGTCTCAGCCAGCCTGCCTTTCGATTCGGCCGCGAAAGGAAGACGAGCGCGACGGCGCAATGTGCGCGAGGATGGGCAGAGACCAATGGGGCGCCATCCGCCCACTGACTCGCGCAGACGCGAATTTGTAAGATTGCAAACGTGGCGGGGGATGACAAACGCAACTTCCACGGTGCAATGCAATGCCAAGATCACGGCCAGAGCATCGCCGGGCATGGGCGCGAAGCACCGCGCGCGGGAGCCACCCGCGCACGTTGGGGCCACTCTCGGGCAAGGCCTCGCCGCTGCTCTGGGCGCGTCGGGGAGCTCGACTGGCAGCGGGCCCAGGTGCCCCGATTGGCAGTCGGGCCCTGGAGAAGCACATCCCGGCCACGACGCATTCGAACCCTCGCCGGGCACCCGCGGAGGGGAGGCAAATGAGGCAGCGGAAGCCCCCGCTCCGCATCCCACAGCTTGCTGAGCCTGAAGGCCTTCGTCTGAAGCAACGCCCGAAACTCTGAGACCACCGCCCCGTTCGAGGACGCCGACGACGGGCCGCGCCCCGCGCCCCGAGCCCCAGAATCGATCCCTCTCAAAGGCCAGGCCCTCCAGGATGCATCGGCATCCGACTCCGCTTCGCGGGGGTACTCCCCAAGGAACTCCGGCGCCATCTAAAGCAGAACCCCGCCGCGCTCTAGAAGCTGCCCGGCCCTTCGAGGGCCGTCGCCCCCCGCGAACCCATTGCCGCGCGACGCGTGCCTGACGTCGCAACACTCCCGAGCAATCATCTCGCCCCGGGCGCCAAGCTCCCGGGCCAGCCCCCCCCGCCGGCCCCGCCCCCCGCCCCCGCCGCCGCCGCGCTCGCTCGCGCGCTGCCCTGAACTGCGCGCGGGAACCAGGGCAACAATGCCCGGCGCCTGCAGCGGCGCGGCGCAAGTAAGCGGACGCACTCTGACAATCTCGCGCGGCCCAGCGGCCGCCTCGACGCAAGCGGCGGTGGTCCACGCGGGGAAGTAGTCGAGCTCCCTCGCCCCCCCCCCGCCGACGCGCCCGCGCGCGCCCCAGCCGCGTCTGCGCGCGCAGCGCTCGCGGGCGCGCGGCTGACGGGCCCGAATTGGGTAAGCCCCGTAAGAAAGTCGGCCGCCGCGATGAAGGACCCCCGGCAGGTCGAGACGCTGCCCCCCTGGACGCCGGGGCCCCAGGGCTGAAGTCCGAGAAACCCTTTGAAGCGTCTTAATAAGCAGCAACCGCCAAGAACCCAAGCCGCCCAGGAAACTGCACAACTGCGGCAGCAACTCCGCGCGGCACTATCCAGGGGCCACCGAAGACGTCGCTACCACCCTAGAAAATCCCGGACCATGATAGCAACACCACCAGAGGAGCAATGGCCACCACCCCTGGAAGCGACGACGAACCGAGATTTCCATCCTGGACGAGCGCCCCACTGCGAGGCGTCACAGACTTGCGCCTCCGTGGCCAAGTGCGCCTCATAAATCAGATCCCCGCGTGCTGAAAACGTGACTCGCCAAGCTTCGGCGGCCGAGACCCAGCGCAATTTGCGGCCTCCACGCGCGACCCAAATCTGCCCAAGCACGCGGGAGACCCTGAGACTAGTGCAACGATCCAAAGAGGACGCCTAGGAGCGGGGGGCGACTGAGCCAATATATAACAAACGAGACATCAGCACTCGCAAACTCGTGGCGCGTCGGGTTCCCCTCACCCCCATCAAGCGCGACGCGCGCCGGCTGCGGGCGCGAGAAGGGGGGGTATTCAAGATAAAAATGGTATTCTGCAGGCGTGGACTCGCCCTCAGCTGGCGGCTTTCCCTCGGTTGCAGGTCCGGCGCGGGCGACGCGCGCGGCGGCGCCTTCGCCGAGCTGAGCACCACGCCGCTGATCGCCAGCTCCCGCTACATCCCCGCCCCCTTCGGCAAAGTTGCCTGAGCCGCCGTCTGCGTTCGCCACCCTCCTCGTCTTCTCGCGGCGCTCGACGTGCGCGCTGTGCTCCGCGCGGATCCCCTCCATGGATTCCACCGTGCTGGCGAAGAGATCCTTAGGGAGCGCGGCGAAGCCTGACTGCAACTCTTCGCTTCGACGTGGAAGCTCGTCCCGATCGGCTTGGGGCACTCCGCAGGATGTGTCGACCAGCACGAACTATTCGGAGTCGTGGAAGATTGCGGTGGCGTCGGGCCCCACCGCCAGCGAGCCCCTGATTATGATGCCTGGCTCGACGGGAGAAGGAGAATGCGTTGAACACCCGACGGTTGAAGCTGCGCCGCCAGCTTTCCCTGCTTCTCGGGCTCAGCACGGGCATCGCTGGCTGCGGCTTGGCAAACGGCGATCCACGACCTGGCCTGCTCCAGGTCGTCGGGTTCCTTATTGAGGCGCTGCTCGAAGATGTGCACCTGTTGGGATGCCTCAGCCGCCTGCCTCTCGAGCGGCTTGGCGGCGGGGAAGTTATCCGAGTCCCAATTGTGCTTTAGCCAAACCCTCCAAACCTGGTATTGGGCAAGCGCCGTGGCATCTCCGCACTTCGTGGCCAAGGAACGCAACTCGTTGATACCTGAAGCGGCGATGTCAGCTGGCATGCCCAAGGGTCCACCAGGGAGAGGACGGGGTGAGCGCTGCCGTGTGTTCTTGCCCACGGAAAGTCGCCACCAGCTTCAAACCTCGGACGCTGGCGATGCTTGTGCCGCAAGTGCAATGGCGCATTGCATTAGCACCCGCAATCCTCGTAGTCACAGATCCAACGCTGCGGGGAGGAGGTGGGTGCGGATGGAGGCAGGGCGTCTTCAACATATGTGTTGGCCTTTGCGCCGCACACGTGCGCCTCCCGCTGCACGGATGGAGGGCGGCCGTCTTCAAAGTGCGGCTGTCGCCTGAGCGCCGCGCGCATTCGTCTTGAGCGCCTAGCGCAGCTACACGGCTGGAGGGCGGTTGTGTTTCAGAGTGTTGTTTTCGCTTGGGACTCCCTCCAATCATATATCACACAACGTAACGTGTGCAGCTGCAACTGCTACACGCATGGGGAGGCCATTGCTTTTCAGAGTGGCGGTGCTGGGTGTCAGCTGCGTGGATATATGTAACGGGGCGTGAGTATGCGCGGCAAATGCAAGGATGGAGGCTACTTCGGTTTCAAAGTGTGGCGATCGCTTCACACGTCCCCAGAGCTTCATAGCACGACACTTCAACATAACCAGCTACGCGAATGAAGGGCTGGTCCATTTCAGAAGTAGGCTCTCGCCTGACAATTGTTTGAACTGTACGATCTGAGATCTTGACGGTCGGGGGTTTAAGAGCGGGGCTCTTAAATGAATGGCGGGTCTGCGGGGCGTTCGTCTGCCAAGGGAAGACTCCCACTAGAGAGGAGTACCTTTATGGTGAGAAGAAGACTCGAGACAGGAGGGTGTTGTTGCAGCCTCGTTGATGTATGTCCTAAACTTGCTGTGGTCTCTCTCCTCCTCCTCCTCCTCCTCCTCCTCCTCCTCCTCCTCCTCCTCCTCCTCCTCGCCCGCGTCCTCCTCCTCGCCCGCGTCCTCCTCCTCCTCCTCCTCCTCCTCCTCCTCCTCCTACTCCTCCTCCTCCTCCTCCTCCTCCGCCTCCCTCTCCTCATCCCCCATCTCCCTCCTAGAAACATTGGACTGGTGGTCACAGCGATGGACTTCCGGACACCTCGCTTCCAGGCAGCAGCGGGGTCAGGGCCCTGATCGCAGCAGCACCCAGGTCGTGGCGATGCTGGGCGAGCTCCACGCCGAGAGACAGCCTGCTGCCCGACAGGAGGCAGGAGGGAAGAGGCAGGGAAAGGAAAGGAGAGTGGGAAGATGGAGGAGGGTGAAGGAGGAGGAGGAGGAGGAGGAGGAGGAGGAGGAGGTAGGAGGGTAGGGGGAGAAAGCGGATGCAAGTGGAGAGGAGGAGGAGGAGGAGGAAGAGGAGGAGGAGGAGGAGGAGAGGAGCGAGGATGAGAAGAGACACTGCCCACAGGGAGGCGCGGGTAGCGAACAGGAAGGGCAGAAGGGGGCTCAAGGAGCGAGGCTCAAGGAGCGAGGATGAAAAAGAAAAGGTGGGAAAAACGCCTCTTCCTCCTCCTCTTCCCTCCTCCTCCTTCTCCTCCTCCTCGTTTCTCCTTACCGTCATCCTAAGCGTTTTTCCTCCTCCTCCTCCTCCTCCTCCTCCTCCTCCTCCTCCTCCTCCTCCCTCCCATCATCCTCTCCCTCTCCTTTTGTGACCCTCCTCCTCCTCCTCCTCCTCCCCGTCCTCCTCCTCCTCCTCCTCCTCTTCCTGCTCCTCCTCCTCCCCCCTCCTGCCGAGGACAGCCTGACGCCCAGCAGAAAGGCCGCCAGCGGCAGCTTGCCCGTGCCGGAGCCCAGGTCGGCGAACGCGTCCTCCGGCGAGGCCGCCACGTCCAGGAGCCCCGGCCCCGCCAGGAGCCGGGCGAGCGCCGAGGGCCTGAACTCGCCGTACGTCAGCATCGACTGCTCCGCCTCGCTCGCTCCTCCTCTCCATCGACTCGGGCTACTCCTCCGCCTCCTCCTCTTCCTTCAACTCCGACTCTTCCTCCTCGTCCTCCTCCTCCTCGTCTCCCTCCTCGTCTCCCTGCTCCTCCTCCTCCTCCTCCTCCTCCTCCTCCTCCTCCACTCTTTTTCCTTACAACTAACTCCTCCCTGTCGCCCCCGAGGCGTGTCGGTACGGCCGGCTGCGCGTTCCGCCTCAGACTTCCTCACCATTTTATGATCCGGAAGCCGAGAATCTGCAAGAGCTTCACGGATGGAGGGCGGGCCGCTTTCAAAGTGCGGTCATCGCCATCACGCTGCGCACATCCGTGCTGAACAATTTCAAGGGTTTCAAGGATGAAGGGCCGCCCGCCTTCCAAGTGCGGTTCTCACCTGAGCGCCGCGCACATGCGTGTTAAGCGTGCACATGTGCAAGGACTTCACCGATGGAGGGCGGGCCACTCAAAAAGTGTGGCTCTCGCCGTAGCGCCGCCCACTTTCACCTCAGGCGCTGCAAGAGTTTTACAGTCGGAGCGTTGCCCCAAGGAACCCTAAATAAGGAACGAGGCCTCTTTTCTCCAGAAGTTGAATTTCGATTTCCCTTCGAAAACCTAAGGAAAACGTATGGCAAACTGTGAAACAATCAAGGAAAACCGAGCCCCTCCCCAACGAAAAGAGTTCCTTCTTCAAGGCCCAGACTGTACGGATGGATGGATGGCGGTTCTTTTTCGAAGTGTAGTTCTCGCTCTGGCGCCGCGCACGTTCGGTTGCAGAGTTCACAGCAGTCGAAAGTCTAAAGAGTTCGAATGGCCACCGTTCCAGAAATGGTCTTTTGGCGCGACGTCGGGCTGTCAAGGAGAACCGGTTACGTAAATTCGCGGCGTTGGAATCTCAGGAATGGCCTTCTGGCGCGATTCAGGATCGTCAAAAGCAGCAATACCGGCGACTCGCGGCGTTGAAATCGCAAGAACGTGGCTCTGGCGCAGTTCAGGATTGTTGAACAGGTGACTTCCAGCGGGGCACTTCCCTCAGTGAAAATGAATCCTTTGAGGGACATGCGAGGAAGAAACTTGGAAGGAAGGTTCATTGCAGTATCGCCGATGAATCTTGGGATTGCACTGATCGTTCTCCTCTTCCTCCTCCTCCTCCTTCTGATGACGTCTTGGAACTGGCGAACGGGGGCAGGGCGAGGGGGGCGGCTGCCATGTCTAAAAGATCGCATGCTTCCAATACAGTCGGGGCGTTGACCTAAGGAACCCTAAATAAGGAACGAGGCCCCTTTTTTCCATAAGTGAACCTTCGATTTCCGGTCGAAAACATATGGAAAGCCTGAGGCAAGCTGTGAAACACTTCAGGAACGCGGAGCCCCTCCCCAACGAAAAGGGTGCCTTCTTCAGGGCCCCGACGGTACAGCAGGACGGGTCCCCCCGACGCCGCCCCACTCGGCGCGCCGCCGACTCGCACCGCCGCGAGGACAGACGACGAAGAGGGGGCGGAGGAGGAGCAGGAGGAGGAGGAGGAGGAGGAGGCGGAGCAGGGGGAGGAGGAGGAGGAGGAGGAGGAGGAGGAGGAGAGGAGGAGGAGGAGGAGGAGGAGGGAGGAGGAGGGAGGAGTGGGCCACACAGCCCCCCCCCCGCGGAGAGCGGCGGGTGCGGGCCCCGCCCCGCCGCCCCCGGGGAGCTGGCAGAGGCCCCTGCCGCCCCCCCCCCCTGGCCATCTCGCTCGGACGTCCACTCCTCCTCCTCCTCCTCCTCCTCCTCCTCCTCCTCCTCCTCCTCCTCCTCCTCCTCCTCCTCCTCCTCCTGTGCTTTTTTGTCGGTTCCGTGCGCGGCTTTTTCGCGAGGCTCCTCGAGGGTCCTCGCCGAAGGAAAAGTGCACACGTCCGAGCGATGCCAAGCCCCGCCCGCCCGCCCACCACCCCGATGGCGGTGGAAAGGCCAGGGTGAACCCAAAATGTGTGCAACGATGCTGCAATACAGCCAGCCCGTACAAGAAGGACGCACGATAGGGACGCAAGGGCCCGGGGCTGGGTCGCTCCCCACAGCCGGGATGCTAGCTAGGCCAAGGTATTCGCAGGAGCTCGTGGAGCACTCACTGGACGGAGGCAGAGCGTCAACGGAGGAGAGCTGATGGCGCTGCAGGGCGTGCTAGAAGCGGGCAGCAATTTCGGCCAAATCAGGTGAACCGCGGCTTCGTCCTACGTGGTTAGTGGCATGGCAAAGCTGAAGGACGGCAATATGCCGACTACCCAAGTCAACCTGTGGAACGCAGTACGTGTCAGCTCAGAGGGCAAGGAGGTCATCGTACTAAAGGTGGAGAGTCGCATGAAAGCTGAGGAGGCAATGGGGGCTCGGGAACTCGCTCGCGGACGAATTCGAAGAGGACAGCATCGAGCAGTCGCAGGTGCCGAGGGCGCAAGCGATGACCGTGGGCTTGGCTGAAGGGGTGACAGCTCAGATCCAGAGCCGCGCCTACGCCACTCTCACGGCCTCGATAGACATCGATCCGTCGCAGGTACCTAGACAAAAGATGAGGAAGGAGGCCTGCCTACGTCAACAAGGAGGAGGACCAAGCTGCTCGCAGAGACCAACACACATCATCGCCTACGACTATGTTGTCCCCATCCTACTTAAGGACCACATCCCAGAAGTAATTTTGAACACCCGGGAAAGTGTCGAAGCAATGTCGAAACAATGTCGAAACCGTGTCTCCCAGGGCCCGGCACGTAAAAACCCTACAGTTTCGGTACTTGTTGGGGCGCTCGAAATTCTTCCTGGTGATCAAGGCTAAACTAGGTTGGAGCATCATAGGCCTACGACTAGAGCGGCAAACACTTCCTCTATCTGCGGGGCGGCTCGCGAACGCTCACGGCGACAGCGGACGGGTGGCTCGGAGGCGAGTGCAGGGAGAGCTGGTCGGAGACCGTGCTGAGCCCCTGGGCACGCGCAGCAATCGGCCGCAGATCGGCAACCAAGAGGCCCGCCCGAGCTACGAGACAGAGATCCACGAGACGCTGGAGATGCCCTGTCGTGTCCTCTGCGGCTGCATCGGCTGCGAGGGCACGCGCAAGCTCGTGGCGCAGTGCAGCGAGAAGCCTGGACAGGTGGGCCGTCAGAACCTGTCGAGGATCAAGAAGGGGCTGCAGCCAGGCACGAGAACACTGGCCAAGCAATTCGACAGCAAGAAGAATAGCCAGGGGTGCTGAGTGCTGCGCGTCGCTTGCGCGTGACAGGCTGCCCCTGTCTGGGCCCAGCCTGGGCAAACGGTGTCGCCGATCCTGTGGCAGAAAAGTCGTCGTTGTCGTCGTCGTCGTCGCCTCCGTCGTCGTCGTCGTCGTCGTCGTCGTCGTCGTCGTCGTCGTCGTCGTCGTCGTCGTCGTTGCCTCCGTCGTCGTCGTCGTCGTCAGTCCGCAGGAAAATTCAGGAACGAACCAAGAAAATCATCGTCGTACTGGAGTCGATCCCCTTCTTTGTCTCCCCTCCCGAACGGGGGGGGGGGCACGGGGGTGGACGCAAAAAAAGGAGCGCGGGGGAGGGTGCGGGAGGCCCCGTGTCAGCTTGCGCCCCCCCCCCCCGGCCCCCCCTTCGGACAGAAGCCACGAGTGGTGGGGAACGCAATGCCCCCCCCCGCTTTCCTCTCCGGCCCTCCTGGTTGGTGGACCGGGGGGGGGGGCACAAGGGGTCGCCGAATCCACTCCGTGCGCGCGGCGGTCATGGCGAGAGCGCGCGCGAGGGCGGGCCGATAGAGCCCTAGGCGCCGCCACGTTGGTCCCGGGCAGGCTGCGCTGCCCGGCGGAGGGGGAAGAGGAGGGGGGGGAATCAGGCAGGCAACGACGAACGCGCAGGCGGGAGGCCGGGGCTGGGCGGGCGGGCGGGCGGGCAGGCCGAGGGGGGCCAGGCGGAAACAGCAGGCAAGCAGCAGGAGGAAAAAGAGGGAGGCAATGGAAAGGAGGAGAGAGCCAGCAACCGCAAGCAGACAGGCCAGACCAGGGGCCAGGAGAGAAGAGCAGCCCACGACGAGGCTACGGACCCTACGGCGGCGACGCCGACCAGGCGGCGCAGGCGTAGCGGTGGAGTGGGCGGTGGGCGTCGGGGGGTAGGTCGTCGTTTGTGGTCGTCGGGAAAAGCAGCCGGGCGTCGTCGGGGGTCGGCGTGGGATGGCCGACCGAGCCCAACACGTTGCGGGTTGGTGGGGACGGCCTTTTGCGGGATCACCCACCGCCCCGTCGAGGAAAGGCTCGACGGCGCGCGTGCAATGTGGAGCTGCCAGCGCGACGCTGGCAAGGGCGCGGGCGCGTAAGCGCTGCCCAACGGAAGCGGCGGAGGGCACGGCAACGGGGCGGAAGGCGCGGGGAGCGCGAAAGGGCGCGGGGATAACCGACCCCCCCCGCGCCCCCCCCCCCCCGGGGACAACGTGTGGACAAGGGAGCTCAATGCCCCCCCCCTCCCCTCCCTGGCCTCACCTGTGGACAGGGCGGACAGGGAAAGGGGGGCATGTGAGGAAAGGGTCCTGAGGGGGGGGTCCTTGGTCAGATTGCCGCCCCCCTCTCCCCTTGGTCCCCCCTGTGGACACGGGGCGCCTGGGGTGGTCCCTCCTATGGACAAGGGAAACTCATTGCCCCCCGCCCTCTCCTCCCTGGTCCCCCGTGTAGACGAGGGACAAGGGGGGGTCACCACTGTGGACAGGGGGGAGTCAAGGCTCTTCCCTCTCCCCCTCCTTTCCCCCCCCCTTCCACCCTGTGCACAAAGTTGACAAAAGGGGCGGCCCCCCTGTGAACAGAGAGAACTCAACACCCCTCCTCCATCTTCCCCCCTGTGGACAAGGGAGCCACCCCCCAGGGGGGTCGCCAGCGGGCGTCCAGGGGGAGGTCCCGCCTTCAGGGTCGGCTACACCGGCCGTCAGGCCTTCCCAATAATTTGTCACATCGGATGATGAAGGTTGGATCGTAAGGATGTGCACCGGAAAAAGCATATGATGATGAGGATTGGGTCGACTGGGTGTGGACTCATCGCGGATTTTTTTGTTGAAGGTAAGGGCTGGGTCGTAAATGTGGATGCGCGCCGGATTTTATTTACTACATATGATGGTGAAGGTTGGGCCCTATTTATGTGAGTAACCGTGTGCATGTTGCGTCGGATGGTGAGGGTTGGGCACGATGGGTGTGCATCGAATACTATAGTTTGCAGTGGATGGTCCACGTTGCATAATATGGATGCGCGCGGCGCTGAGGCGACGGCCACGTTGTGAAAACGGGATGGCCTTCATCATTGAAACAACTAGAATGCCAATAACTGTGCTTGCACATTAGGGGCCCTATTTCTGTCTGTTATACATAACTGGGCCGTGTCTTCGGTCTGGCGGCTCTGTGGCGTCGTCCCCGCCCCGTCGCCACCTCGTCGCCGCCCGTCGTTTGGGTATCTCTGTAACTCTGGCGGTTGTGTTGTCGCCGTCGCCGCCCCGTCGTCGTCTCATCGCCAACTTAGGTTACTTTTTTCAAAAAGGAATTCGGATATACCACCCTCCCGGTCCAAGATTATCGATTCCCTTTGGGAGTCTGCTATTTACATGCGATCTGTCCTATCGTTCATCTTGCATGTGACACCATCCCACCCCAACAAAACCAAATTCGACACCCCACACCATGCTGTACAACAAACACTATGCGCGCGCTCGTCGATCACTGTCATCACGGTGTAGACATATCGTGCAAACAATGGACGAACTCCACACCCGCAATTCGCCGCGGGCGTGCCAACTTCCTCTTCAACCACCTCGGTGTTGCATGGCGTTTGATCATCGAATGCCACGGAACCGTATCAACATGTAACATGGCGGCTCGACACAAAAAAACGGAGCGTCTTCCCGCGAATTCGGACGACATGCGTGGGCATGAACATACTCATCCAATGCAACCAAGCGGGCCTCTCGCGCGCGCATGTCGATATCAGTCGAACGCCCTTTCCACGCGTGCTTGGGGGGGGGCAAAACCATTGACAAATGAAACCATGCGGGTCACTCGCGCCAGTCGGCCGCGCGCGCATGTCGAAATCGTTCCGAACATTTTCATCGCCGACGCATGGACACCATCGTCGTCATCGGCATGATCAGCATCGGCGCCGTCAGCGGCCTTGCAGTCGTCAATTTCATCGTCGCCGCCAGCATCACTACTGTTATCATCGTGTCTGTCGTTGCCGACGTCGCCATGACACCGCGCCCGCCCGAGCCACCGACTCGCACTGAGGTCCCCGCGCGGCAGCGCGGCCTGCGAGACGCGCTGGGAAGTCTCCAGCGGTCACCGCCTCCGCGGCCGCGTCGGTCGCGTCAGACTCGCGAGCGGGTTTGGGCGTTAGCGCGGCCGCAGCGATGCGCCAGCCAGCGCCAAGCAAACATCTCAATCTCCGCCGCATGGGTTTTGCAAACCGACTTGCAAGTGGGCGGGTAAGATGATTGCGCAAGCAGGTGACAACTTGGAATTCGGCAGTGCGAACTGCACCACATAGATTCCGCCACATAGCTTGCACCACATATTGTATCCTTGCTTGAGGAGAACTTAGATTCGACCCCCCCAACCGGATGATCCACTTGCCTTTTTTGTGTTGCAATTCACATGCGTTTTTGCCTCCTCGAGAAGCCGTACCATCCCAGTCAGGCCCGTATCGACTGGCCCCACCATCCCTTGCAAACATAAATGCGCGCTCACTCGTTTATCACAAATCATCAAAGTGGGTGGGTGGATTGATTGTATTGCACGAGCATGGGAAGTGGTCACGCGCGGTGCAGGGTAGCCAATTGCACCGCGCAAATTGCACAAAACAGATTGCACAACGTAGATTGCACGGCATATTTTACACCACAAAGATTGCAAAAGGCCCCGGAATCCTCGAGAGGCCCCCAAGAGGCTCCCCAGAGGCCCCCAAAGGGGCTCCCAAGAAGCCCCAAACATGTCCCCCAGAGGCTCCCGCGAGCGCTCCGAAGAGATTCACACAGTCAGGAATTATTCGAAATCATTCAAAAAAACGTGCATGTTTTGCAAGTCGGCTCCAGGAAGGGGTTCCAGAGGGGGGGATCCGGAAAGACACTTCGAGAGCTCGGCCCCACAAGTTGCCAGGAGGTCCTGAGGAGGCGGGAGGAGGGAGGAGGGACGAGCGAGGAGGGAAGAGGAAGGCGAAAGAGGAGGAGGAGGAGGAGGCGGAGGAGGAGGGGGAGGAGGAGGAGGAGGGGGAGGGGGAGGAGGAGGAGGAGGAGGAGGAGGAGGAGGAGGAGGAGGAGGAGGAGGAGTGAGGAGGAGTGAGGATGCTCTCCCCTGGCGGCGCGGGGCCTGGTCCGCGCCGTCGACGCTGGCGTACCCGGAGTCCCCGGCGTACAGCCCGTCGAGGAGGCACTCTCGCGCCGCGGTCGGCCGGCCAGTCCCCGAGGGGCCATCGCTCGGACGTCCCTTCCCTGTGTTTTTTGTCGGTTTCGTGCGTGGCTCTTTCGCCAAATGGTCAAGGATGCTCCTCGAGGGTCCTCGCCGAAGGAAAAATGCACACGTCCGAGCGATGCCAAGCCGAGGGGCCCCGGGGGAGGGCGCGAACAGACGGAGGCCGCCGTCGTCGGGAGGGAGGCGCCCCCCTGCAGATTGAGCAGGGACCGACCGTCCCGGCATCCCTATCGTCCTACCACAAAGTGTTCTTGGAACCCAAAAATGTTCCAAGAACAAAAGCAGCGTTCTAAGAACATCAACCCGATGTGATAAAAAAGGACAGGCTCCGCCAGACATGCTCTAGAACACACTTCGTGGAAACCACAAGAGGTTCTTAGAACATTAATTGGTAGGCCTATAGGCGAGCCAGGACGCTGCGCCACTGCTTGAGGGAGGGAGGCGCCCCCCTGCCAGAGGGGAGGCAGGCGCGCCGGAGCGCGCGCGGGCCCTCCGGCAGGGCCGCCGAGCGCGCGCGGGGGAGTGCGCGGGGGGAGCGAGCGAGGCACGGCGCGTCTGCCGGAGGCGTCGCTCGGCCCTCGCCAAAAGCAGGCGCGGGTCGGGCGCGTCCTCCTCGCGGGTGGGGATCTTGCATCGGCTACACGTAGGAGTGACCCTGGGCAAGAGTGCCCCTTGGTGCGTGGCTCGTCGGGGGCCGCGGGGGGGCCAAGCACGAGCGCGCGAGGCGCTGCTGCCGCATCGCGTTCGGCGAGCGAGGGGCCCCACTGGGCCCGCACCAAAGGTCACTCTGGCGAAAGGTCACTCTTACGTCGAGTCGATTGTACGACGGATGAGACAGCCGCCGGCCCTTGCTCGGCGTGCGGGGGAAGCTTTTCGCTCTGCCCCCCTCCGAGGCCTTCCTGTCTGCCCTTCGTCGTCGTCGTCGTTGCTCCTTCCCCTTCCCCAGGCCTCCCCCTCGAGTGGCGAAGCAAAAGGAAATTGAGCAATGTCGTGATCACAAGATTGAGCCACGTCGTCATTGAGTCGAAGGGAAGCCCCTTCCTTTTCATCCCTTCCCCGCCGGGGGGGTGGGTCCCAAGGGGGGTCCCGGGGAAGTCTCGGGGGGTCTCGGGTCAGATACGACGCCCTCCCCCTGGGAACCCCGCGGCCCAACAAAGCCCCAGGACGAGCCAAGAATGCCCCAAGAGACCATGAGACCCTCGCGAGACCACGTCCTTTCTCCGTCAACATCTGCGGGCACCACTACCACCCCCGAATCTCCGCCCCCCTCACAACTACCCCCCCTCCATTCTCCCCTCCCTCCCCTGAACCTCTGCCTCCACCTCCTCCTCCTCATCCTCCTCACCCTCCTCCTCCTCATGCGGCTCTTCCCCATGCTCGTCCTACTTCTCCTCCTTCTACCTCGACATGGTCAGCGTCCTCATCTTCTGGGTCGGCGGCACCGACCGTAAGGCCTTCGCAATAGCCAACAAATGCCCAAACATAGTCCAAAAAATGTCAAAGCATCGTCCGCAGACAATTTTTCCCTACCTAGGTTCTGCCTAGAAGGGTTCTTATCCTCTATCTTAAAGGGGCCGGGCAATGTTGCCCGCCCCAGGCGGTTCCCCTGGCATCCGCCCCGCGGTTATCCCAGTTACGTCTCCTTAGCTTAGCGTTGCTTATCTCATCTTACCTTAGCTTATGTCATATTACCTTAGCTTAGAAGCATCTTAGCTCAGCTTTATATTAGCTTAGCTTACCTTCATGTTAGCTTCGTTGAGCT